CTGTCATGTGAAAGCCAACTTGCACTTGTCTCGCCTTCAGTGCACATAGGGAAGATTTGTTGTGATTATATGGGTGGTCAACTTTTTATATATTAAATTACACACAGGGCTGTCTCTGCCCACCACCCATCCCTTCTTCCCTGTTTTCTTTAAAACATGTTCCATTATTTCAGCCTTCCTGTGCTTCTAAACTCTCAGCACTCCTTGCTTTGCTCTGGACCCAGTCCAGCTGCATCCTTTCCAAAGTTCAGCAGCTGCGGCTGAACTCTGTGTTCTGAATGAGGATGTGCTGTCATGTCATCACCCTGGTTAATAAATCCCAGGGTGAGATCTGAACATACCTGAACGGCCCTTTTTCCCTCTTTATGGCACTGAAACTGGCAGAGTCACAGATTAAACGGGTACCTTGCAGTAACTTCATCTCAGCAGAGCTTCCTTCTTCATCTGTGAGAGCATTTTTTTTTGAGGGCCATTTCATAAAATCCGGGTTTATGACATCTTCTGCTTATATATCAGCCAAGTCAGTAACCACCTCATGGGGAATTAAATTGGTGTGAAGTTATTTGATTTTTGGGAAAAACTATTTAGCGGCTTTTGCCTGAAATTTCTCCCGATTTTTCTGAACGTTGTTCTAACATAGAAATTAAAGGGAAAAAGAAATTACAAGCTGATCAGCCTAACTTTGTTTATCAAAGAGATGCTTTCAGAGTTTAGGTAGATCTTCAGCTTGCTTTTTTTTTAATAGTAGGTTAGAAGTAATTTAGTCAGTTTACGAATTCGGTTCATCAAGTTTGTCTTTTAAACACTGGTAGGTAATTTGTTTCCTCACTTAGGACCTATTGATTATATGGTTTGCTACCTATTATGAAGCACACGGGTACAATTATGCTCGTAAACTGAAGAAAACAACGTTCAGTATTATAGTCTTCTTCACCAAATGAAATGGTATCATCAAAATCATCAGCTAGTGGGTTGGAGAGGAAGCACTTTTGGACACAGCACGCAATTAGTGTGGAACTCCCTGCCACACAACGCTCCCAGTGCCAGTCATTCCCCTGGGCTCAAACAATGAGACGAATTCGCACTGGAAAAGCTCATTAAGAGCTATTAAGCACACAGGTGCATGTGGGAAGTTATTAAGCCATGCATTGCTGGAAAATGGGAGGATGTGGGGGAGAAAAATATAAATCCATCCAACCTGCATCCAAAGCTCTTCCCCCTCCAGCCCCACTCCCCTGGGCTGTGTGTTCCTGGTTGCTGAGGGAGACCGACACTGGAATTTTTGGTCTGATCCTGTGTTATAGTCCATGTTATTTGTAATGCACTTGCTTTCAGCTCAAGTACAGTCCATTCTGTCTGCCTCTTCTGTAAATCCAGTCAGAGGTATTGCCTTCTGTGCTAAAGGTTTTGTACCTGTTCTGACACTGTTCCTGCACACAGGGCTCTCCTTTTCATCCCTTTCTTCTAACAGCTGGAGCTGCCCAAGTGGTGCTACATCAGCCCTTCTACTACGTGTTAGAATTGTTTGCTCCCTTTTTTTTTTTTCTTTTTTCTTTTTTTTTTTTGAGAAGCATCCAGTCATTTCTCTCCCATGGAACTATGCCTGTTAATTCTTTGGCACTGCCAGCTGATTGATAAATCAGTTGAAGCTGGTGTTCTGTTATTTTGCTAATTGAAGTTTGGTTCTTTAGCAGTTCTCAGAAGAGGGGTTTGTTGTGTTTTTTTGTTTGGGTTTTTTTTCTTTTTCTTTTTTTTTTTTTTTTTTTTTTTTTTTTTTTTTTTTTTTTTTTTTTTTTTTTTTTTTTTTTTTTTTTTTTTTTTTCTTTTTTTAAGCACTGCAGATGTCTTGGGGTTTCCTGTGCTATTCTGTTCCTGTCAAAGCTGTGCTGGTCTGAGGATTCTAGGTCTAGATGTGATGTTCTGAAATTTCTCCCAGTGCATGTCAAAAATTGTGGGCCTCTGATATTAAGTTACTGTTTTGGACAGGTAGGAAAGTGATCTTTTCTATGAAACAGATTCTGTTCTTTGATTTTCTCTTGCTTTTCTTGCTTCCTTATTTCTTCTCTCTCTTTTACACCAGACACTATCATAACAGACTTTTTCCTATTTGGTGTAAGCAGGAAATGTTTGGCTGCACAGACAGCTAAAATATTAATGCCAGCTGAGCATACTCAACTATTTCAGCTGCTTGCATCCCAAACTTCTTCTGAGCAGTCTTTTTAATCCTCCTAATTTAATTTAATTTGAAGCTGAGGCAGAATTTTCAAGTTTCAAATTTAGACTGTCTTTTGACAGTAGTTTTAAAGTCTGTAGTGTGAGGTGTAGGTGAAATTTAGTTATGGAAGGTGTGTTTGTGTATCAAGAGTGGGGAGTATATGGAAAGTATGAGCTGAATAACTCAAGTAGCTGAAAAGACTTTTCTTTGGCTTCTAAAAAAACCCAGATTCATCAAGGAGAAAGGAGGCTTGGAAAACCAGCCTGGAAAGAATATGAACTGTTCCAGTACTTGCAATATATGAAAAATGAAGTAGTTGCAAAGAGACTTGGTAACCTTAGTTAAAACTGGCACCTGTTAACTACAAAAAAAAATTCCTCCCGTCCCTCTGAAAGCTTTGCTGTAATCCAAATAATACAAGTGGGAATTCTATAATACATCCCTGTTCTCAGGCCAGTGGTAAATCAAGTCACTGCTTGCTTTGCATCTCTGAGCTCCTTCGGTTTGACCAGCTTGAGTAGGTTGTGCTTTGTGGTTTTTTTTTTTTTTCACTGTGCCTGCGTGTCTAAAATGGGATTGTTTCCTTGTCTGGCAAACTGAACTATGCCTGGCCCGAGGGATTTTCTGGCCAGACTGGATCCTTGCATCTCAGTGCAGCGACCTGACCCGACACTGCCCCTTCTCCAGAGCTGTTGTCTTTGGGTTTCTGTGCTGATGAAACGTGACATTGGTCACCTTGAAGGGGAGCTGCGTGAGGGAAGAGATGGAAGTGCTGACAGAGGTGGGCTTGGCCTTTCACGTCTTGGTATGCCACTTACTGCAGATGTGTTCACAAAGGGGGGGGTTACTCATTTCACATCCTTCACCTAAAGGGACACTGCTCATTTCAGCAAGATCCTCTGAGGGATGGCAAGTCAGGTGGAGCTCTCCTGCAAATCTTACCCGGCATGGAAAAGTGCCCGGTGTTGCAGCACAGGAAAGGATGGAAGGATGGCATTCTTTGCTTCTGTTCGCATCCTGCTTTGCTGAGCTCTTGGTCGAGCAAGTTAAGCTCAGGGTTTTTTTTAAAGGCACAGTGTGGTGCAGTCATTCCTGTGCTGTGCCACGCTCTGCCACTGGGAACTCCTTAAACATAACCCCCTCTTTTCTCCTTTGCCTCTGGGGAGGTCTGGCTCTTGTAGTGAGCTCACCCTCCACAAAAGGTTCTCGGAGTCCTGTTCAGCTCCAGCTCGGGCCTACCTAACAAGGGCTCCTTTCCTGTCATTCTCTCGCCTACGAGACATAGCAGCCCTGTGAGTATTTGGGTGGGGAAGGAAGGAGATTGCAACATCCATTCAGGGGAAAAAAAAAAAAAAGGAAGGCTTGTCTGTCTCTCTCGCTTTTCAAGTGCAGCTGTAAAACTTTCCTTGGCCTTTGAAAGCTCTGCCATGTGGTGGGTGCGAGCTGTGGAAGACGTCAGCCTTTGAAGATCATCCTTTAAATAGGCACTGCCAAAGGGCATCCAAATTTGAGCTTTTGTAGCAGTTTTTGCTGCAGTTTTGGTACAAATTTTGGTACGATACAGCACGTTATAGTTCCTAATCTATGGGCATTGTTCTTATTTTCAATGCTGAGGAGGGGGATGAAAGCTTTGTTTGTGCAGGGAGTTCACAGGTAGAGCTGCACTCAGGGTTTTCTTTTTTAGTCTAATCTAGTGTAAGATGATCTGAACAGGCACGGTGAGTTTGAAGCAAGTTGTGCTGCCCTGGCAAGAACATGGCTCCTCTTGGATATTTGTACTGCATATTTGTGCATTTACCGAAATTCTCCCAGCCCTCCATTGAGAAGTAGCCTTTTTACCTGGCCTGCACATGCAATCAGGTGTCCTTGGAGAACTGCAAAGCGGAGATGAGAAAGGATACAAAGTCTTGTATTGCTTTGCTGGTGCTTCTTGTGAAGTTCCTGGGGGCAAAGTTTCCCGTATATGCCTGGCAAGGGGGAAATTCAATCCAGAAAAGGGAAAACCTCACTTACATTTCAACAATACTTACTTGCATTCCAGAACTTACACAGTTCTCTTGGGAAATGTCTTTCCTGTATCCATTGTCTTAATGTAGTGCCTTTCTTAATCATTCTTTGTCATCTCCAAGCTTCTGGAAAAGTGAGTGTTTCCCAGGGTGGAGGGAAGAGAGTTAGGGCCCAGCTTCTCCTGGTCATACTCTGTTAATCAAGTTAATCAAGAGCAGTGACTCAGAGCAAATGAAGACTGGATAATCCAAGTGATTATTTATCACTTCTGTGGTCTTACAGGATCATTTCCTGCTGAAGAAATAGCCCAAGGCACTGTACTTCTAGGGAGCATTGGAGCACATCCTCATATTTAGTCATAATTTTTCCTTTCTGTAACTCTGAGGTAAAATCTTTAGAAACCCTCTCCCCCCTTACTATTACTACTTTGTGATCTACCACATAACTCTGGATAACTCATGGTTTGCAATGGTAGAGACACTTCTCAGCTCCAGCTCTGCCCCTAGAAGCCAGTCCCATTTTGGACTACATCAAAGTGGGAATCAGCCCATTGTTGGACTGTCCTGAGCGCACCCTTTCCCCCCCTGCTGCTCCCCAAGCCTTGTCCCTGAATCTGACACAGGACTGGTTGGGTATTTTAAAGGACATAATACCACTTGCTGCTCTTTTGTTTTTTTTTAATATTTTTTGTTTTGTCCTCTTGCATTGTAGTGCCTCAGTTCCTCTTTGGGAAGGCAATAATCTTTGGGTTTTTTTCTTTTTTTTTTTCCCTCCACAGGATGATGAGAGTCTGAAATACTTAACCCACGAGGAACAGGATGTCCTCATGTTCTTTGAGGAAACCATAGATGCCTTAGAAGATGACTTGGAGGAGATGGCTCTGCGCGACAGTGGCATCCACTGCCAGTCTCCACGGTCGACAGAAGAAAACGTGTCCAGTCACTCAGAGACCGAAGATATCATCGACTTAGTGCAGTCAACACCTGAGAGCAGTGACCATGAGGGCCCTTCCAGCAGAGATCCAGAGCCAGGTAGGTGTATTTCTTGCAAGGGTGGGTTTCCCTTTGATCTATCCCTGAGCTATTCCAGTTCTCGCTGGAAACAGCTGAAGTAATTCTGCACCTTCCTTACTACCTCAAGATGAATTTGTTACACATCAGGAGCTCTGAGGACTGTGATTTTTTCATTTGCCCTGGGGTTTCTGAAATTCTTGCTTTTAGTACAGGATTTTTTTTTTTTTTTCATTTTTCCTTTTCTCTCACAGAGCTCTTGCATACGATGAAGTTTTTGGACTGCCATCTCAGTCCTCTGCCCGGTGACCGAGTTGTCACTATTGTGCACAGTCATTGCAGCAACCTGTTCATGCTCTGCTTTTCTCTAAGACCTCTTCCCTGAGAGTTTTAAGGTGGCAAATTGCCTGCAGTGCCACTCTGTGTGGGACTGAAAGGCAGGTGATCCTATCAGTAAGTTTGCACCAAGGCAGTGCATCAGCCAGCACATCCAGTGGGACGTAATGTGTCCTCTCCTGGCTCTTAGAATAAAAAATAAGAGCTGCAAAACTCTTGCAGAAGAGCAGCCATTGAAACCCGGTGGAGCAACGTGCAGAGTGTGAATGAAAGGCAGGAAGAGGGCTGCCAGTGACCACCCTGTACGTGTGCTGACCTGAGCTGTAGTGTCGCCTACGAGATGCTGCTGCTGGGAGTTCAGTTATCATTTCTTCTGGCAGAGTGGGCTGAGTTTGAGCGGGAGAGTTTCTGGGGGAGGGCAGAGATGATGCTGAAAGGCAGCCTCGCATTCTGCTGCGTGTGAGGACTTAAAGGCATTCTTGCTGCTTTGTGTTTCAGTGCCGGACGCTCCCTGGAGAGCCGAGAGCCCCCAGCCGGCTGTACCCGCCGACCTTCCCCCGTATCCCCCCGCACCACCACCCGTGTCTGAGGCGCTTCCTCTCCCTCCTCCACCCCCTCCTCCGGTGCAGCACCCAAAGCTGCTGCGCTCTGTGCCCACCCCCCTCATCATGGCCCAGCAGATGTGCGAGCAGCAGGCGGAGAGCAGGGCGCGCTTCCCCGGCGCCCCCAAGGATGGGAGCTCGGACAGGAAGAAAACCCCGGTGGCCAACGGGGATCATTTCGGGGCACCGAAGCACCCTCCCGCCCCCGCCCCCAAACTGCACCGCTTCCCCAGCAACATCAACATCACCAACGTCAGCGGCAAGGAGTTCAGCGAGACGATCTCCAGGGCCGCGGTGAACGTGCAGGAGCGGCGGGCCCAGGTGCTGGCCAACATCAACGGGGGAGCTCTGCTGGCGGCTGAGCTGGAGGAGAAGCTGCACAAAAGCGACTTCTTGTCGCGTAACAGAAGTTCTTCCTTACGGGACCTCTCCTCGGAGCAGACCCGATACGAGGCCCTGACGAAACTCGGCCTAGTTAAGGGAAAGGCAGCTCAGGGCCAAGTGGACCGTGCCCCAGGCACTCAGCAGGTTGATGTGCAGCCCAAACAGGCAGATGCTGTTACCAATGGATATAAAAACATCCACGAGGCTTTAAAAAGCGAGCCCAGCCCTTTCCTTCCTACGGGCAAAACTGTAACAATCAAACCAGAGGTCTCTCTTGCCGCTAACAAGGTCATCAGCGCCCAGCAGAACGCGGAGAAAAGCTGTAGCGATTACAAACAGCCTGCTGTAAGCCTGGACATGAGGAGGAGATCAGGATCGCTGCCTAGACCTTCAGGATTCCGATCCCAAGGGATAACGGTGAAGTTTTCTGGCCGTGGCTCAACAGAAGAAGCTCGGAGAGAGGCCCTTCGGAAACTGGGACTACTGAAAGAGACTGCGTGACGTGGATGGGAATGTTGTGGCAGTGGGAGGAAAGTCATGGCATGGCTTGGTGCTGGAACGGTCCCAATGGAATTGGGACCAGATGGATTGGAAATAAAAAGGGAAAGTTCTCTGTTTCAGGCAAGCCGGGGAGGTACCAGACACTGTGGAATGACCCCTCGTGTTTATCCCAGGCCTGGCACCACGTCCGGTCGTGTACAGCAGTGGGGTTTGGCTCTCCTCCCTACAGAGATACTGAGCTGTTGCTCTTTGTGACTGAGAGGAATTTTATTTAATTAATGCTGGACTGTGGCAGGCAGCATCTCGTTAATGAAGTGTCCAGTGCAGTATTGTCGTACAGAGCGGACTGGGTGGCGACTCTTCCCTCTGCTCTTTCTGAAGCCAAAACCGAGAGCTCCGCCTGTCTTGCCCACATGTGTCTGTCTGTCTGTCTGTGGGAGCTCGAGATAATGTCCAAGCTGAAATTTCTGAGCAATGTGACACCCTTCCACGACTTTTTTTGTTGTTGTTGTTGTTGTTGTTGTCTGTGTTATCTGGCTTGGCTTCATGTCCCTCCCAGTGGTGGAGTCTTCTGCCCCCTCGCTCTGCGCGCGCTTCACTCCGGACCGTGCACGGGGTGGCTCCTGCTTTGACCTTCTCCTGGACAGAGCAGCCCCAGCTCTGGATGGGTGACTGCACCACTCTGCTGCTGCCCCTCAAGTCTTGCCTCTCTTCCCAGCCACCTGCTCCTTGGTCACGCTCGAGCAACCCACGTGTGTCCAGTGAAAGGCTCCAGAAAAGCCTCAAGGATGTGCACCGGTTTTCACACTGACAGCCAAAGAGTCTCCTGACAATCTGTGACCCCAACTGTTCCGTACCAGGGATGGTCTCACAGCAGAGAAGCCATAGGAACAAGTTAACTTTGTACCAAATGCCAGACCCTGATGTCAAAAACCTCATCCTTTACCTTGGGGTTCCG